GTACTTTAATTCTTTGTTGGTTTTCTGCTTGTTTGACCTCCTTTTTATATAAGAACTGAGTATTAACTAACCAAGTTGTTTGCAAGCCTCTCTTTAAAAACCAGCACAAATTGTATCAGCCTGAGTAGTGAATAGCTGAAATGAGAGATGGTGCAAGTTGTGGATCCCATCAAGCTACAATTTGGTTCTTTTTTTGTATAATTTTTTATTATTATTGTTATTATCGTTCCGGTTGTACATTTTCATATTGCATTGTGCTTTTACAGTTTTCCCCATCCTCCCCCCTCCCTCCAGTCTGTTGTTTTTAGTCCTTTTCTCTCAGCCAGGGGCATAATGTTTGGAGCTTCCACTGAACGTCGTTCCTTTGTTCTTCTTCCATCCATCTCCAGTATATGGTCCTTTTCTCTTGGATTGTTGCTCTTCTGTCTTCCGCTGCAATTTAGTTCTTTATTAAGAAACTCTTTGATGGATATTCTGATGCAACTTTAATCACTAATATTCTGCAGTCCACTTGGTGATTTGCAGCCTGTAAGTTAATCACCCTCCACTGTATACTGAATTCTTGCAGAGTCTGAGACAAGGGAAGTAGACGTCACTACAACAACCAGACCTGTCACAGAAAAGACACTGAGCCTGCAAAGGACCCTCTGGGTCCTCTAGGAGGATCCCTCCTCTTCTTCCTCCCAGGCATCCTCGCTCCCTCTGTCAGACATACAGGGCTCGGTCGTGGTCTTGGGAAAGTCCTTTGTTTCAATGTATTTATTTTATGTTATTTTATTTTTTTTGGACCCCGAAGGGGATTTTTTTTTAATTTTGCATTTACTACACACTACAAATATGGGATGTGGAAAGGATTACTATTGCCCTATCGCTATTACTATGGGAAATGGGTCAGGGAGATCTAGATACATAAAGTCTACTGGATAGGGGAAGGAAAACTACCACTCTATTCTAAATCTCCTACTGGATATGGGGATAGGGTGAAGACTAATACAAATCATGATCTGAAAAGCTAAAAGAATAGATCTTTTTAACCTATTACAGGTTATACAGAGATTAGTTCGATTATACAAATATAAAATTATTAGCTTGGCACAATTACTGCCCTTAGCACTCATGCTTTAGTTTTAGAGTCTTTTCTTCTTAGATTTCTTCATTTTCTGCAATTTGGGAGTGGTCTCTCCTTTCTCCGATTCAGATGATTCTGATGACGAGGAAATTTGGCTTGTTGAGTCCTGTGAGTAGGACTCCTCTTCTTCCTCCACATCTGGTTTAAGATTCTTTTCCTTCTGCTTCTTTTTTACATTGAACATTTGAGGCATAAATCTTTCCGCTTTCCAAACGCTTAAACCAGAGTCAATTTTATATTTTTTATCCTGGTAATTAAAACTCAGCCCTTCCGGGAATAGCCATCTATACGGTGTTCCCTTTTTTTGCAGGGAGAGAGTAAGCATCCTGTATAATTTCCTCCATTTTCTTACTTCAAATGGAATTTCTTTCAAAATTTTTATCTCTTCATTCTTGATTTTTAAGGATTACCCCATTGTTGACTTTAGCACCAGTTCTCTGGTTGATCGTTTCGTGAATTTTAAGTAACTTTCCCCTGGAAGTTTATTTTTCTTTATAAAATCCGGATAAGTCCTGTATGCCACATCCATTTCCTTAATTAAGTCTTCTTGTTTATAATCCATTAGTGGGGCCAAGGCAACCGCAAGAGTTCCTTTAAGTCCTCATTCTTATCTTCAGGTATCCTATGGAAACGTAGAACATACATGGATCTTTCCAGCTGGAGCTGTATTACTTGCGTTTTATCTGAGGATCTCTTCTTCTCTGCTTCATCCACTCTTTTATTAATACTCTCAGTCTGTTTTTTCCATCTTTTTCAATGTTTTTTTCGGTTGCTGAGGTTCTCATCCATCTGCTTTAGTTGTTTTTGCACATTATCTAGCTTAGTGTTGAGAGTAGTCATCTGATCCATTAGAGGGCTCAGTGCACTTGCTAACAACGAAGAGAAGTCTGTAGATGCTTCCTGGTTCTGGGAGGGAGTCATTGGTATGTTATTTCCGTTCACCAGTTTTTTTT